TCGTCCGGAGTTCGGGAAATAGTACCCACAACACCAGGGGCCTCTTCCGGGCCACCTCTGGGGCCCCAGGCCGGGCCACGTTTGTAAAGACAAGTGGAGAAGAGGTGGGACTCAGAGGATCCAGACAAACCAGAGACATAGGGATAGGAGGGCGGCCATACATGTTACAGCTGCATCCTGAACACTATTCTGGGTCATAGGACCCTAAATTCCCTACTTAACTTTGTTGATCCTTGCTTTCTTATCCCAGGAGAGACAATGAGGTCTATTCCCCTGGTGTGCAAGAATTTGGAGGAGTTCCAAAGAAGATGCACAAGGGACAGTGACCCCTGTTCCTGCCTCCTCCCTCACACCCCCAGCAGCCCTAGTCTTGGAGCTGCACCTCCTTTCCTACTTTTGGATATGCTCAATCTACCTGGGAAGGGCGGGGCTTCTGGCTCAGTGTTTCACAGAAACTAAAGCCTGAAAAAGCCCAAGCTGGAGAGGGAAAAGGAAACTGTGGGGAAAGGGTGAAGAGATAACAGTGTTCCCCAGCCTTAGCGCGTCTCTCAGACACCAAGTCTCTCATATGTTCCTGTCTCCCTGGTGGTGTTGAGCTTAGTTGCCAGTGAAGAAAAGCAGGAGCCTGAAGGTTGCGCCTCCAGTATAGGTGTTGCCTCCTATTCCACCTGCTCACTGTCCACCCAGATGTGCCTGCCTTTGACCAGCTCTGCATGAGCCCTAGCTTCTGAACCTCAAACGCTCCTCAAACACCCCTTGCCCCTTTAACTTTCTTGCTTCCGGCGTTCTGCCGGGAGAGATGATCAGCCCATCTACCCCAGTGCCCGAGTACAAATTGGGCAGTCCTGCCTCTCCTCTCTGCCACCAGTAGCCTTGTCTCTGAATTAGTTATGGTATCACCATCCCAGTCTCCAGGCTCTGACTGTCTCATGCCCACCCTCAACCACAAGCAGAGTCCTTTTTTTGCTTTGTGATTGGATAGTGACATAGTACGGTTTCTCCTAACTGGGAAGTTCCCCCATGAGGCTGGGCATACAGGAAAACTCATCAGTTTGCCCTTTCTTGCTCTGCCCATGGCTCCTACTGCTTTTGGCTTCCTCCACACCTGACCTGTTCCATTCCAAAAGAAGATCAGTCACTATAAGGCCCAGGTGGGTCAGGTGGGAATTCACAAACCTGAGCTAACCTGTACTCTGACCCTGACATCCTGGAGAGGAACCCCTTGTGATACTGGGAAAGAACTGGGATTGTTAGGATAGGCTCAAAGCTCAGCCAATCATTGAGCAACTACTAGACATGAAGTCCTAATATAGGTATATGGATGGACAGACAAATGGGTGAGATACATGCAGATACAAACGGATACCTCTGAGCTTTCAGGCTTGCAACCTGGTATCTGTTCAATGCACAAATTCATATTTGTTCTCAGACACTTTGGAACTCTGAAGTTCCATCCATCCATCCAACAACCATGAAGCACTGGGTGATGGGAGGGGCACAGCATATGCATGTCACAGAATGAAGAGGTTTGCATAGAGAGGTAGGAAATCACTAGCTCAGCAATAGGCTGTTTCCCAATGAACATAAGCTGCTGCCCATGTCTGAGGCAGAACTATGTCCTATAGATTCTGCTTAGGCCCTGGGGACACAGGGAGAATCACAGACACACACCTTCCCATCTGGCTTTGGATTCTAAGAAGAGACAAATAGTAAGTAGTTTTGGGCTGAGGGTGTATCTCAGTGGCAGAGCCTGTTCTTACCTTGCATGAAGTCCTGGGTTCAATCCCCAGCACCAAAAAAATGATAGTCATAATAATTTAATTTCAAAACCAGACAGTTTTATTTCCTGCTAAGTGTTATTCAGGAAGCAAAACAGAGAGTATCTAGACTAGAGGGATAAGCAGCTTCAAAATGAGTGGTCAAAGAAGTATCTTGGCAATCAGAAAGATGAGAGGAGTTAGTGAAGCAAATCACTCTGGAAGAGAAGACAAGGCAATGCAAAGGCCCTGAGGCAGAATGACCTTGCCTGAGAAAAAGTACAAGGGTCAATAGGGCTATTCTAGTGGTTGCCAAGAAAAAACAAAGGTGTGAAATGGAGAAGGGGGTGAGCCCCGTTGCCATGGTGAAGAGACTGAACCATGTTCTAAATACCAGATGATCGGCGTTTAAATCTCCAACCCTCCCTTTCAGCACAAACAGAATTATGTTGGATATACCTGGCCACCTCAGCTACATTCAGGGCAATCTCCATCACCTCTCTCCTGAGAGTCAGCTGCAGCTATTCCTGGACAGACACCATGTGCTTCTTAACAGTCGCAAAGGCACAAGACTCCCTTGCTGCTAGGTGGAGGATATGTGCTGAGATCTGGACAACAGCATGTAGCAACATCTTGAGAAGGTATGAAGCTGCACTTAGGTCTCAACCTTGACTCCATCCCCTAGGAGTTCCTACCCACCATCAGGAGAAGCATGAGCCATGGGAAAAGGCTGCATGAAGGTCCTCTGGACTCCAGCACAACTGAACTCTCCAGAACACAACCAGCACTAACCATCAGCTGTGGAGTTACCAGCTCAGACATTCCTGCCCATTCACAATCACCTCAGCTTGGAGCTGTGTGTCATGACCTTGGATGCACCATTCACCATGCAGAATTTTCTGGCCTCAGTGATAGGGTAAGATATAGAAATGGCCCACATGCAGGGTCATAAGGATTGCTTGCCTGGCCCAGAATACAAACACTGTAGCGAAGAGTTGAATATCATTCTGCTAAGACACTGGGCTGGGGACTGGAATGAGGCTTGCCTCTGTGGACCAGGTTCTTCCCTGTTAGCAGTAGGAGAGAATGAGGCTCAGACAGAGAACAGAGCAAAGCAGAGACAGAGGCAGAGAAGGAAGAGAGACTGAGACAGTCACAGACACAAATACACACAGATAGAGAGACAGAAAAAAGAGGAGAGGAGGGGAGGAAAGGGAATAAAGGGAGGGGAGTAGGAAGGAAAAGAGAGTAAGAGAGTACCTTGCAATCTAGCCATACCCCTCATCTTTGCAGTTACAAAAGCCAATATATCGATTTTGGCTTAAAGGCATCTTTAGAGGTTCAGATGCCACCTGCCATCCAAAAGCTCAGCCATGCAAGAAACAAAGAATGCTCAGGGGCAGGAGAAAAGACGTTGACTGACTGCCTGTTGGGCTGGCAGGGTTGGCAGGGCTGACAGAAGGGGCAGCTCAGCTGGAGGGCAGGTGGAATTCACCAGCATTCTGGCACTAGGGCATTCCTAGCAGAGACAAGAGTATGTGCAAAGGCTCAGAGACACGAGTGTAGGGAAGGTTTCTGTAACTCTCCTGGTGTGCTCCGGTATCCAGAGACATCTCATCAGCTTCCCCTCTGTGGTGAAGACTTTATTCTCAAGGTCAGAGCATACAGCCATGGAGACATGGCATGCCCCTCTGCTGGCATCTTCCAGGTACAGTGCTGGTTTGGTTGGAGAGGTGGCTTGGTTGTCAGGGTACTTGCCTAGCGTGCATGAAGCCCTGGCTCCATTCCCAGCACCACTGAAGTGGAAAAGGTGACACACCCCTGTGATCCCAGCATGCAGGAGTGGAGGCAGGAGGATCAGAAGTTGTGGTGGTTTGAATGAGAATGTTCCCCGTAAGCTCAAATGTTTGAACTGATCCCCAGTTGCCAGTGCTGTTTGGAGGAGATTTGAGGAGGTGAGGCCTTGCTGGAGAAAGTATGTCACTGGAGGCAGGCTTTGAGGGTTTAAAACTGTGCTGTTTCCAGTTCTCTCTCTCTGCTTTGTATTTGGAGATCAAGATGTAAGCCCTTAACAACCACCTCCTGCCACCATGGCCACCACTTTCTGCCATGATTGTTTTATCCCTCTGGTACCCTAAACCCAAACAAACCCCTTCTTCTATAAGTTGCCTTACTCCTGGCGTTTTATCACAGAAGTTCAATGTCATTCTTGCCTTCACGCACGGGGGGTGGGGGGTGTGGGGGGGTGCGCATGCCCACCTGCCTCCACTTCTCATCTAGCTCTTTCTCATGTTTTCAAAAGGGCCCACCAGAGGGGAAAAGCAAAACAAAACAGAAAATCAAAGGCCTCTCCCAGTCTCAGAAGCCAGCCTCATCGGGACTGGTTTCAAACAACTAAGTGGCTGATGAGCAGCACAGTCTAGCCACTCAGAGCCCTGCCCTCAGGGGTTGATGTGGGAAATGATCCTCTCCTGAGGTGGCTCCTGCTGTACTGCACTAAGGACATATACAGAGCACCTAAGGATTCAGGGACTCAACCACAGCACAGTGTGGGGCTTATGTGCTTCCAGAGAGCAAAGATGGCGGCTTCCTACCAGGAGGCTTAGGAAGGACTGAGCATGGGTACAGGGTTTAAGGGCAAGTATAAGTTCTCCTCCATTCAGGAAAGAGAGGATGGGACATTTTAATTAGGGATGAGAGCAAGGGTAGCCAGGACTCAAAATAAGAGGACTGAGCTGGGCAGTGGTGGTATACGCCTTTAATCCCAGTGCTTGGGAAGCAGAGGCAGGTCGATATCTGTGAGTTCAAG